TGTTGGTGGCCTAAATTTTGTCTACTCAGGTTTTTTCTCAATGCCACTGAAAAGAAAAAAAGTATGCATTATGACTCAGTTCTTGTGGGTTTTTTCGGGCTATATGGCCATGTTCTAGAGGCATTTCTTCTGACGTTTCACCTGCATCTATGGCAAGCATCCTCAGAGGTGAGGTCACCTCTGAGACCTCACCTCTGAGGATGCTTGCCATAGATGCAGGCAAAACGTCAGGAGAAATGCCTCTAGAACATGGCCATATAGCCCGAAAAAACCCACAAGAACTGAGTGATTCCAGCCATGAAAGCCTTCGACTATGCATTATGACTTTAATAACATCCCTTTTAGCACCATTGCCTGATGAATTATAGCTTTTTGGCAGGTCTAATAAAGAATCACCATTATATGGTCTATCGATAGTAAGACATGCAAAGCTCTGAGCTTTCAGAAATGTGGACTGTCTTTTGGAATTCATTTTTCTTAATTTACAGTAGAAAAACAATAATTCACAGTGCTAGAAATTATTTATCTGGAAATATCCAAAATCAGTGAAATGTTCATTGCCTATTATTCAAAGTGCTGGCTTTAGCCTATAAAGCCCTAAATGGTTCAAGCCCAGTTTATCTGCCCAAAGATATCTCTCCTTATGAACCATCTAGGAATTTCAGATTGTCTGGGGAGGCCCTGCTCTCAATCCCGCCTTCCTTGCAGGTGTGTCTAGCAGGGATGAGAGACAGGGCCTTATCAGTGGTGGCCCCTTGGCTGTGGAAGTCCCTCCCTAGAGATATTAGATTGGCCCCCTCCCTCCTGACTTTCCGAAAAAGAATAAAAACTTGGCTCTTTAAGCAAGCGTTTGGAAATGCAGCACAATAAATAATTATGAACTATGAAGACTAGATGATGCTACTGGACAATGAGTTTAACAGGACAACACTGGTGATTGTTGTCTTTAATGGTTTATTGGTTTTGTATAGTTTTTATAATATTATGTTGGACATTTTAATTGTATTTTTGTGAATTGTATGGCATCGAATTACTGACGTTTCTGTAAGCCACCTTGAGTCGTCTTATGACTGAGAAAGGCAGGCTACAAATACCATAAATAAACAAACAAACAAACAAACAAACAAACAAATAAATATTTTGGCTACAGTTTAAGTAATTTCAGTATATGGGGCAGAAACCCCAAACTGTGGTGGAATTTTCATGTATGAGTCACTAGCCATCCCCTGCCACGTGTTGTCGTGGCCCAGTCTATGTATATGTGTTTTGTGTGTGTGTATGTATATATATATGTATATGTGTGTATATATTTGTGTATATGTGTATATATGTGTTTGTGCATATATGTGGTTTTACATATGCGTTATAATATATTTTTTTGTTTTTTGGCTTTTTAAGTCTTTTGTGCTATGTTTTTCAGTGTTTTATGAGTGATGGTCACTTGTTGGCCTGATAGCTGTATTGTGCCCAAATTTGATGTCAGTTCGTCCAGTGTTTTTTTAGTTATGTTAATCCCACAAACGAACATTACATTTTTATTTATATAGATAGGGAGACATTAATCCAGTCTTTACAAGATTCAGACCTTGGACACTGCTTGGAGAAACTGCTTTTTTAAAACTACAGCTCCCAGAAATCCCCAGCTAGGATAGACACTGATCAAGATGACTAGAGATTCCTGAGATTTTTAAAAAGTAATTTTCTTATGCTCTTATTCATTTGTAGATTGATTGCCTAGCAAAAGATTGGATGAAGTGATGAATGGATGGATGGAATGAAAGATAGATAGATAGATAGACAGAATCCAGAATCAGAGATTAGACCTGTCTGCATGAATGCTTTCATTGTATCAGAAGAGCAGGTTCAGATCTGCTAAAAGATGGCGGGAAGTTGTTCTATTGTTAAGGGAGCCACTGGTTTGCCCTCAGGGTAGGCAGCTGGAGAAGTACCACATCCCTAAACCAGGGAACTCAAAATCGGGGCAGTAAGATCATTCCCCACCCATTCCTGGCCATGTCAGCTATTTTTACAAGTTTCTGTGAATCCATCCAGAGAATATTCCACCCTTAAAGGCCACCTGCAAACACTGCGAGAGGACTTTCATATAAGTACCCAGGCTGGCTCATTTGTTCTAAATGAAAACAAACGAGCAGGTTTGTTTGTTCATTCATTTCCCTCCTTAAGTGAAGTTGACTTTCCTGACCAGGCAGTTTTTCATCTCTATGAAGCAGCAGTTTGCCCCAAAGCGGTTTAAGAGTGTAACACAAATAAACCATAAATCAGAGAAGCAGGAAAGCGAAAGAGTGGGAAGGTCCAGAAAATAAGGCCTGTTTAGGGACAATACTCATGCTGAATTTGCTAGTCATTAGCCTGCCATCTGGCCTTGTATTATCAGAACAGGAATTTCTATAGCCCCTATATGACTGGTGAGTATCAGCATCAAGTCAAAGCTGGACTGTCAAGAGGCCTCTGTGAACATAGCTGTTGGGTGGTCTCTCTCCTCCAAAACTTAGAGACTTCCAAAGCCACATGCAAGGCATTTTGAGAATATTTGCGTTGTGATTTGCCTGGCCAGAAGCATTTTATTTCTTGAGATTGCAGGACTTTTTAAACACTATGTGGCAGGTCTGTGTGATTATTTCATAGATGGATTCATATGAGGTTGAAGAGATAACAGGTGAGCCACAACTGTTTCTGAGTAAATTGGCTCAGCAGCTTGATAAAACCCACTTAACTGGGTAACATGGTAAGCGAAGGGAACAAAAGTATTTGTCTGTGGCTGGGTCCTATAGCTGCAACGGTTCAGGAGTTTGTTCAGGAAGGGAGTTACCTGGCTCAGTTCTGTATGCAGACCTACTATGCCAGTGGTTCTCAACCTGTAGGTCCCCAGATGTTTTGGCCTTCAACTCCCAGAAAGCCTAACAGCTGGTAAACTGGCTGAGATTTCTGACAGTTGTAGGCCAAAGTACCTGGGGATCCACAGGTTGAGAGCTACTGTACTACGCTATGCTAAGCCATATGGGATTGCAGACGTGGACTCCAGGGGAAATACTCTGATTTACATTAATGTATTATTTGTATTAATGTAAGTGCTTATGTTTAGAATATCCTCACAATCAGAATCACAGAAGCCAAACCATAGTGAGCTGTCTTATACGGAATCAAACTATTTCTTCAGTGATGTATGCTGCACACCAGGGGTGTCAAACTCAGCTTATCATTTTCATCAAGGGCCACATCAACCTTTAGGGTTGTCTTCAAAGGGCCATTGATTTAATATATGGAGAATCCATGGATACAGTGAGCCAACTCTCTCTATATATAGATTCCTATCAGGAGCGACTTGAGAAACTGCAAGTTGCTTCTGGTGTGAGAGAATTGGCTGCCTGCAAGGACGTTGCTCAGGGGATGCCCGGATGTTTTTGATTTTTTTTCTCATCCTTGTGGGAGGCTTCTCTCATGTCCCCACAATGGGGAGCTGGAGCTGATAGAGGGAGCTCATCCACGCTCTCCTCGGATTTGAACCTGCAACCTGTCGGTCTTCAGTTCTGCTGGCTCAAGGGTTTAACACATTGCACCACTGGAGGACATATTCTGTGTATATTGTTTACATAGAATTCAGTGCTCCTTATTTTTAATCCAGTTTGGTTACCCGGATATTATTGAACAACAACACCAATCACTTCTGATTATCTGCCATGGGGATAACGGGAATTGAAGCCTAACAGCACTTGTGGCTCTCAGGCTGGGGAAAGAGTAAAGGATGTTTTAAAGTAAGACATCATATTCACAAGCCTTGTATATAAATTCAAATTTCACTCTCGTGACTAACTGCAACCTTCCAGATGTTACAGTATCACAACTTCCACCCGCTCTAGTCATGATTTGTAATGAGGAGTACAGGAGTTGTAATCTAGCATTTGGAGGGCCACATAAAATGATATGATGAGCCTGTGGGCCTTGAGTTTCAGCCTGCAGACCTTGAGTTTGAAACATGTGCCGTACACTGATGGGCCATGGCTCATGGTTGCTGATGGATTCCATTCAAAAGAATCTCTGCTAGATTTTATCCTAATTTTACAGGAACTAGCCAAGGTGCTGAACTCTATTCAATAAATAAGTTAATCACTGAAATAGTTTCTTTAAAGTTCAAACGAAAGCCTGGAGTGGTTTCACACGACATGAGAACCACTGGTTCTGGCTCTCACAGAATCAGGCAGAGGTAATTTCTGTGTTGTATCCTTCCTTGAACCATGAGGAGAATGGCCTCGTGGCCTCGTGGGCCATCCAGTCCAACCTCCCTGACAAGAAGCAGGAAAATCGCATTCAAAGCACCCCCAACAAATGGCCATCCAGCCTCTGTTTAAAAGCCTCCAAGGAAGGAGCCTCCGCCATACTCCAGGGCAGGTAGTTCCACTGCTGAACAGCTTTCACAGTTAGGAAGTTCTTCCTAATGTTCAGGTGGAATCTCCTTTCCTGTAGTTTGAAGCAATTGTTCCTCATCCTAGTCTCCAGGGCAACAGAAAACAAGCTTGCTCCCTGTTCCCAGAGAGGCAGGTAACAAATTGTTGTTATTAATATTGTTATTTCCGCCCTATCTGGAAATGTTGGCAATTGAAACTGGCATGTTCTGCATGCAAAACAAGTACTGCCATTAAGCAGGAATGTGAGTACCTGCCAGGCATCTCTAGTTTTTGCTCGAACTGTCACTCAGGTTACAATTCAGGCATGCTGGCAGGTAAACAGAAATAACAGTTTGCAAATTACCTTTCTCAGCAACAACTTGTCTGATTGAATGTATTAGGCTGCCTGTATTTATAGACATACACTAACTATTTGGCATCCTTTCCTGATTTTGCTCTGTCATAGTGCCAGAGCCTTGTTTCTCAGCCTATCATGCCCCAAAGGCGAGAGGGATAAATGCCAGTTAATGTATAACCGTCTTCTTTACCTTTCACCCCTTTTCCACATTCATTCTCCATTTTCTTGGGCACCTGCCACTCCCACAGTACACAGACCAGGAAGAAAAAGTCTTTGAGCACGAGTGAGAAAGTCAGAGACGACACACACAACCTGGCATAATTCCTCAGGTAAATGTTTTTTTCCTTTCCAGAAAGTGTTTGGGGAAGAGGGGGAACAAAGCAAAAAGGAAAATCAAAACAGCCTTGCCTTATGGCAGAGCGCTTTGCAAAGCGGATTGTTGATAATTCAACTGATTCTGGAGGATCCAAGCTTGCTTTTATAGTCTGGTAACCATTAAGGTGGCCTTGGGTGTGGTTCAAAATCCAGAAGTCAGTTTTCTTTCTTTCTTTTTTTTAAAAAAACAAGGTAATCTATAAAGTACTTCATTTTGTGTATGCACTAAAATGAGCAAATGTCATTCTCTGTATATCAATGAAGCTTACTGAATCTAAGCAAAGAACTGTATATGGGTATAAGCAACTGCATAAAGGCCAACTTGGATCTCTTTGAAAATTCAGTACTCTCACTAATCACTGTCTCCTGGAAATCCAGCTTGCTGCAATCTGCCCACCTATTTTAGGCCAAATAAAGCATAACTTTCCTCCTGGTTTAGATGGAACTCCTTGTTTTTAGAGTCCCCGGCTGCCTCACTCTCATCTCCCCTAAACTGAAGGTGGTATAGTGAACTGGAATAATAAAAGAGATTAAGGGGTTCTGTTATTTTATAATAAGCCAGAATGAAGTTGACAGATGAGATAGAACAAGATGTCTGGAACAAGTTGGCACATGTGATTTAAATCCTATGGCTCAATGAGTCAACAGTGTTGTGCAACCTTGTAGCAGGTTCAACAGAAGACAAACAAATTACACGGGATAGCAGAGGGTATTTGCTACCTGCCTGCTATGGCTAAGCCCAGAGAGGTCCAAAGTGAAAGCTTTCTGGTCTCAAACAGTCTTAATAGACCCTATCCTCTAGGTCTGGCTGGTTTATGGCCAAGTATATTAATGTACTCTTGTGTGTGGTGACCACCTCAGGCAGCAGAAGCTGTGGACAAGGAGCAGCAAAAAGGTGCAATGTTGGAGGACAGAATAGTATATACCAGGAAGCTGGCCCTGAATCTCCCTGAGCAAGGCTGCTCCTTTCAAGTGCAGTGTCCCATAGCAATGTTGAGGTAAGATATAGTGGCCAATAGTCCATTTAGCTTTTGCATTTGAAATAATGGACGCTATTCTGTCCTTCACCTCAAGTAGCAACATATTATGTTCCAGCCATTACTGAGTTACCTTTTCATATTCTGGTTTTGCCGATTTCTCTGGGAACTCGTGGTGCTTCCTGGGAAGTGAACATCTACATTTGTTTGCACCTGTGTGCAGCTTTGCATGGGGCTCTTCTGAGACTTCATGAAAACTGCAACTTGGGATTGAAGGGCATCAGTATCATGCACCTGTCTGATTAATAATTTCTCCTTGGCCTTATCTCAACTGACCATTTTATGCCGTTCAAAGCTAGATTCAAACTGCAGTGGTCAGACAACAAACTCCCACAAAAGAAAGTCCTTAATGCTTATTAGTGCTCTATAGTTTGTGTAATAACCATTCAGGTCCCAAATTGATTCCAGGATTTCCCGTATAAATTATCTGTACAGCAAAACCACTATCTTCAATACTAGTTTGAAGCTGCATGTAATGGTCAGTGTAGATGGGGCTTTTGCCTAATTTCCCCCCAATGATGTTTCTCATCTTTCTCACCAATATTTTTCTATAGTAGTATTTTTGAGACCCTCACAACCTGAAGGCTAACACTGTACAGCAGGGGTCCTCAAACTAAGTCCTGGGGGCGGGATGCAGCCCTCCAAGGTCATTTACCCGGCCCTCGCTTAGGGCCAACCTAAGTCTGTAACGACTTAAAAGCACACAACAACAATCCTATCTCATCAGCCAATAGAAGTCCCACACTTCCCACTGAAACACTAATAAGTTTATATTTGTTAAAATTGTTCTTCATTTTAATTATTGTATTGTCTTTAAGTATCTTTTGCACTACAAATAAGATACGGACAGTGTGCTTAGGAATTCATTCATGTTTTTTCAAATTATAATCTGGCCCTCCAACAGTTTGAGGGATTGTGACCTGGCCCTTTGTTTAAAAAGTTTGTGGACCCCTGCTGTACAGTATGGCCTCTGTTTTTACATGTTGATACACAAAACTATGGATAATAGTGAACCCTATTGAAATGAGTCCCCTAGGTATATGCAGGGAATGTGTTGTGAAGGTGACCTTACTATATCTTTCCTGTGTATATTACCTCCATGGAGCAGGATGCTAGGAATCCTATTCAACCGTGTCAAAAACATCTACTGGGATCACATAATACTAATCCTGTAATAATTTAATTGATTTTCAATTTGTTCCTGGGCCAAAGCCGAGGTTCTGGCATTGTCTTAAGACTTAGAAAATTTTAAGCCCAGGACAACTGAAAAAAGACATATCTGTAAAAGCTGGTCCTTCCACTTCAATAAAAGCTGGTCCTTCCCCTTCAATATATGAGGAACGGATTGTCTTGGTGTCCCAATAGTAAAGTGATGAAACCAAATAGAGTTTTCTCCAGTTAGGCGGCTTAACTCTGGAAAGGCCTCCCTCAAGAGATATTGCGATGCCAACTTTACAGGCATCTTGGTGTCAGCCAAAGATGCTTCCATTTATCCATGATTTTAGGAATGGGCCGGGACTAATTAGATGTCTTTTGTGTATGTGGATGTATCCACACTACACCCCTGCGGGGTGAGAAGGGCAGAATATAAATGTTTTAAATAAATAATATCACTTTGGTACCAATTTAATTGCCATAGCCTCCTCCCAAAGATTCATGGGACTTGCAGTTTGGTGAGTTACTAATAATCCTTGCTGTAGAATTTAGTCTGTTTTCCCCTTAACAGTAACACCAGAGAGCTCTGGCAGAGAAATTTTAAGCACTGCAGGAATCTACAAATCCCAGGATATTATGCCACAGAGCCAGGCAGTGTGGAATCAAAACATTGTAAAGAAGGCATGTGGATGAGCCCCCAATCTCTATTGATTATTAGGTTATCTTTGTTGTTTAAATATTGTCTACTTTCATTGAAAATGGTTGCTACCCACCCTATGATTTATTTTGAAAGCTAAAAATAGAATCAGACAAGTGCATTTTTGGTACTTCTCTCCTTTTTTGCAGCAAAATGAAAGATGCCTGGTACCTCTGGGTCTCAACCACACTCTGTATCTGGATCCTGGTATCAGGACATCCCTGCAGCATTGATGAGCAGGTGAGTAGCATGCAAAAGCATCCTTAGACTTAACAGCATTTGTTTTGTTTGCCATCAAACCCAATTTTGGGGTTGGTTTGAGTTGCTAAATGCAGCATACTGCTGCACAGTACCATTTGGTGAGGTAAAACTAAAGTTCCCAAAGCAAACTGAAAAACAGATGCATTGGGGTTTTTAATTTTTTTATTATACATACATACACAGAAACAAACAATCTTCAAAATTCAAAAATCAAAATATAAGTATTTTTCCTCAATCCCATCACCTCCCCATTCCCTCCTGAGAACCTCTACCTTTGAGTTCTCTTTACATAACACAAAGGTACAGGAATACTATTGAATATTTATACCTCAGTATGTTGGAGCATTTAATCATTTCCCCCTGGTTTCTCCATCTATTCTATAGTCTAAACACAATGCCCATAGATTTACTAGCAAGCAAAGTTTATTGAATAGTCTATTGACCGCATCAACATTGAAAACAAAAACAGAAACGTGCACAAACAGACAACAATCACCATCCCAAGACCTCACAACAGCGAACCAACACAGATTCAAACCTGATTAGGTTAAAAGATAACTAAAAATATCATAATTAAAATGTCAAGATAAAATTTCATACCACAAAAATTAAAAACGAAGGTTAAAATGAAGGTTAAAATAGACCAGCTATTACACAATCCAGCTATTACACAATCCCAAGCCATTTCAGATATCTGCGTCACCCCTACAGTTTACCCCAATCGCCTCCAGATACACAGTTCTCAGCTGCGTTGCTTTATAAAGGAAAAGGGCTGTTTGGTGTGTTATCTAGGAGTGGATAAAAGGACCCCAGCTGCAGCAGTGAGAGCAGAAACAGGAGTATATACAGTCGATGGTTTATCCAAAATTAGGTCATATAAATATTGGATAAAACTAAATGCCATGGCAAATGATAGGCTACCAAAATTGTGCCTGTTAGAGTAGACCAAAAACCAACATCAGTCCTCTTGGTTAGTGCAACTGACAAAATACATCAGGACTTGTGGACTTCCAATTCTATACCCAAATCTTCTAGAGGAATTAGATCCAAAAATGGCAGCACAACAAATACAGGATATAGAGGCTCAGAAAGACATTGCCACCCTTAGTAAAGCCGGCTCACTGAAATGGTTAAGTCGCTTTAAACATACTTTTCAAACAGCCGAATACCTAAAGACAGAAATGCCTAAACGTATTCACTAGAACCCGATTCGAACAGACAGATACAATGGTTAAACATGGAAGGTTTAACCAAGTTCCATATAATGAACGTTTCTGTATCTGTGGGGCGACAGAGGTAGAGGATATTACACATGTACTGTTTAATTGTATTTTGTATAACAAAGAGTGAAATCAATACCTCGGACCATTCATCATACAGAAGACTCACTGGGATCCTCATATCAAAACTACATTCTTAATGGCTGGCCAGAATGCTAAGATAACACACCAAACAGCCCATAGATTGACTATAGCTCAGTCTTTTTAATGTTATACATAACCATCTGTCTAAGGTTCTCAAAAGTATTCATTTTGTTTTGTTTTGGAACACCCCCCCCCCCAAAAAAAACCCCAACCCCCCAAAATGGATGCATTTAACGATGCTAGAATTTCATTCGTTTTCCAGGGCTGGGCTGACTGCAGTGGAAAAAGCCTTCTCCATGTTCCCAAATCCCTTCCCAAGCACATCACCAACCTGGACTTGTCTTTCAATTCTTTAACGGTGCCTCGACATGGAACCTTTCTGAGAAGTTTTCCATCTCTTCACTCTCTAAACCTCACTGGCAATGCCATTCCTACACTCTATCCGTCCCTCTTTTTTAACCTTGCTACTCTCTACCTATTGGATTTAAGCAACTGCAGCATTTCCCACGTGCACCCAAAGAGCTTCTTTGGTTTAAAAACCCTTCACACACTCCTCCTGAAAAACAATAAACTCCAATCTCTGGATATCTCCATCTTTCCTGGTTCTGGAGCCCTTGTCTTTCTGGATGTGCAAAACAACAAGCTGCCTTATACAAATGAACTTGCTGCATTATTTGTACAAAAAATCTACCACGTCAACTTTCAGGGGAACCCTTGGATGGACAATTCCTCCACCATTCCTTTCCAAGATGCACAAAGACAAGGTGAGACACAGCATAGAAAATGGGCTTGCAATGTATAATACGAAATGGGTTTGCAGAAACATGGATGTTCTCCTTACTTAATGTAAAAAATAAAGCTTGGAATAAGCAGTATGCGAACATAACTCGGTTTTATTGGTTTCTTTAGTGGAGAAGCACGGAAATGTGGAGTTGTTTTCAAAAGGTATGTTTTCAAAAGGTATCAAATTCATCTGAACACGTTTTTACTGAAATTCGGGGGGGGGGACGGGGACGGGGACAGGATATGTATACCTTTTGATAGTTATGATCTATACATAATATTCTATGCCTAGCCAACAATGTGCTATCACCTGTAACTCGTCTTTTTTTTTAAATGTTGGTATCCTTTGGAAACAAACTCCACAAATGCAGACCGGATTCCTTTAGCTCTTTGGTGGGCTTTTCAGGCTGCGCAGTTAATAGTTAGACGATTTCCTTTTAATTGCCATGGCTGCATCATATAGAATTGTGGGATTTGTAGTTTAGTGAGAGGGTAGAAAAATCTGCTTTGTTATGTGGGGATTATTAATAGCTATATTTATATCACACCTTTTCTGTATTGTGCTGAAGGATCCCTCCCTTCCTACTTTATCTTCACAACAACCCTGTAAACCTGAAAGGTCCCCCAAAGGGTTTCATGGCTCTATAATGAATTGAATTTGGACCTCTCAAATCCCAGCCCAATATGCTTACTTGTAAAGGGTAAAGATAATGTCTTTTGTGTGTACTGTAGTGTTTTGTGTGTGTGCCCTAGTGCCCCCAGGTGTCTTATGAGTACACTTCTTGTCTGATTAGTAAAATAGTCAAACATGCATATACTCTGTTCTTATTTTAAGAAAAAACAAATACTTCCCTCCAAAAAGGGAGAAAGACAGGCAGAGTGAGTCAGAATCTATATAAATAAAAATGTAATGCATGCGCAAAACCACATATATACACATACACACACACACACACACACACACACACAAAACACATATACACAGACTGGGCCACAGCAACGCATGGCAAGGAACGGCTAGTAGAGAATAGAATTGAATTGACACTGGGCAGGATTCTTGCAATATTATCGTAAATGTCATCCAGTATGTGCTCATAAAGTTTGGAAGTGTCACTTTTTTGGATTATGATTCAGTGCCCATGCTGGTTTTGGGAGATGTGATGCAAAAAGTAACTTTTGGTATTACTTGGTTGAAACTTGAGTTGGATGAGCATCTACACCAGGGTCCTCAGACTTTTTAAACAGAGGGCAGATCACAGTCCCTCAAACTGTTGGAGGGCCGGATTATAATTTGAAAAAACATGAATGAACAGTGCACATATTTGTAGTACAAAACCACTTTAAAACAATACAATAATTAAAATGAAGAACAATTTTAACAAATATAAACTTATTAGTATTTCAATGGGAAGTGTGGGCCTTCTTTTGGCTGATGAGATAGGGTTGTTGTTGTTGTTGTTGTTGTTTGCTTTCAAGTCATTTCAGACTTAGGTTGACACTGAGCGAGGGCCGGGTAAATGACCTTGGAGGGCCATATCTGGCCCTCGGGCCTTAGTTTGAGGATCCCTGATCTACACTAATAGAATAGACCTAAGATGGCACTAAAGTGGTTCACTACACTTGATCTTAGCCAAAAGGCCCCCAGTGACCAGTGGGGAGATAAAAACTCTGATCTCATCACTTAAAAATGGTAAGGCCCCAGGGCCAGATCAAATACCCCCTGAATTTCTAAAAAATAACATCTCGTGGTGGACGGCCTTCCTAGCCCCCCTCTTCACACACATCAACCGCACAGCCTTAATTCCTGCCTCATGGTCAAAATCTACTTTAATCCCGATATTTAAAAAAGGGGATAAAAATGATCCAGCGAACTACCGCCCTATCAGTTTACTCTCGGTGGTGGGCAAACTTTATGCTCGCCATTTATATAGCAAGCTTCTAGACTGGTTAGACTCAGAAAAAGTAATAGGTGAGGAACAGGCAGGCTTTAGAAAAGGGAGGTCTACCATAGACCATTGTATCGTGTTAAGCCACCTAGCAGAAAAATACCAAGCCCCTCCCTACAAAGGACTATTTACCGCGTTTATAGATCTAAAAGCTGCCTTCGACTCTATTCCAAGAAATTTACTATGGCAAAAACTACAGAAGACCACAATTGACAAAAGATTGCTCTGGTTAATTAAGAGCTTATATTCAAACACTTCAACACAAGTAAGATGTGGAGTACAAGGCAACCTCTCAAAACCAATAGCAGTAAATAGGGGGGTGCGCCAGGGGTGCATCCTGGCCCCTATTCTGTTTAACCTATTCCTGAACGACCTAGCCACCCATGTCTCACTACCAAATGGACATCCCCCTAAAATCTCATCCACCAATATACCGCTATTGTTATATGCAGATGATGCTGCCCTCATATCTTACACCAAGGTAGGACTCAAGCGAGTGCTGAGTGCATTCTACCAATACTGTGAGAAAAACCAGCTAAAGATAAACTATAGTAAAACCAAAATCATGGTCTTCTCAAAGAAGCGAGCCAGGCATAACTGGTACATAGGAAAGAACTTAATTGAACAAGTTTCCAGTTTTAAATATCTAGGGGTTACCTTCCAAGCCTCAGGTGCCTGGGGATGCCACCAAAAAATGGCAGTTCAAAATGCCCTATCCAGTAGTAAAGCAATAATTTGCTTTTTTTACACCAAAGGTGGCCAATATATACCAGCAGCAACAAAAGTCTTCCAAGCAAAGGTAACAGCCCAATTATTATACGCATTTCCAGTATGGATCACAGGCTTCACATCTAAAGTAGAACAAGTTCAATCAGGGTTTCTTAGAAAACTGTTTGCTGTCCCCAGTTGTGTTCCATCTGCTGTTTTAAGACTGGAATCAGGAACAGCCTCACTCGAATCACTGGCTTGGAGAAGGGCCCTAGGATACTGGATGGAGAGGGTGCACAAAGGGCCTGAAGCGGGATATACATATCTGATTCAAAAAGACCTCTTTAAATCCCACCGAATCAAAGTGCTAAATCAGAAACTCAGGCAGATAGGCCTCTCAGAGAATATATTGAGCAGTTTTGAGCATAAAAAATTCATGCAGATCTTAGCAGAACGAATCAGTGACATAGACAAACAGGACTCAATGACTCTGACGTGCTCCACGTTCTCTCCATTGAGTTTAGGCCTAACATTGAATTCTTTGGGAGGTGCCAAATACTTAGAAAATTTAAACATCCCAAAATTTCGCCTTGCTTTCAGTTGGGCCAGATTTAATGCCCTTAAATCAACCATACTAGAGGGTAGATACAAAGGGACTGATTGTGAACACAGAATCTGACCATGCGGGGAGGGTAAAATTGAAACTGTAACACATGTACTTTTTATGTGCACAATTTACAAAGATGATAGACAAAGGTTAATATCCCCTCTACTCACCAAGTGGCCAGGAAGATCCCTAAGTTGGTACTGCACTTATTTACTGTCTGATCTTGATAAAAGAGTAACGGAACAGGTGGCCAAATTTCTGTTTGCAGCGGCAAAAAGCCACAAGTGCTTCATGAATAACCTGTAAAGGCTGAGTGTAACAAAGAGTACTCGGGAGACTTATTATTAACTTGCAATCAGTTCCTGTTTTAGATCATATAGACAGCCATTCATCCGATAGCGAATGGTGACACTTGTTTGTATTAATTATAAGCCAAATGTGATGTTATTAATTGTTAATTGTTGTATTTCATCGTTCTACTTTCACTTGACTTGGCCGATGGTTTGTTGACCGAAATAAAGGCTACTGACTGACTGACTAAAGTGGTTCAGCATGCTTATCACTGATAATGAACATAGATTTTGTGTTTTCTAGATAAACAAACCTTCTATGAGTCACACCCAGAACTCAGGACTCAAAAGATAAGGATACTGGATGATCAGGAACTGAGCCACAGAGCAAAAATTCGGGTCCCTCGAAGTGTATCAGTTGCACCTGAGAATGTCTGTAAGTTCATCAAGATAAAGTTCTTCCATTCTGTTTATGAACTATAGAACCTCAATCCTCTCACTTGACATCGTCATTCCTACACTGGGTCTTAGAATAGTTGCTGCTGAGTGAATTTTCTATGAGGAGGAAATTAGAGAAACTGTGCCTTTTGAATGGCTATTTCCTGTTCTAGTAATTGCCAACCCAGACTAGAAAGATTTGGCAGTATAGATAGAAGTTCCTTACTGTGATAAGATAGTGCAGGTGGCGCTGCATCTTGGTAGTAAGAAATGCCTCTTAATGAGATCTGTTGTATGTGCTTCCTGTTTATTAGCACATTTGATCTTTGGAGTGACAAATGGATACAGGAAAGACTTCCTGGTGCCACTGCTATTGCCGGGAGCAGACTTTTACAGATGGGATAATTAACATATTTATAGCATCATCGCTATGCAGGCCCTGGTTAGTACTTGATGGGAGATTGCCAAGAAATATCAAGTGCTGTAGGCTACATATTTCAGAAGAAGAAACTGGCAAAGCTACCATACATAAGCAAAGCCTATTTGCATTGCCATAAACTGATAGACACCTTGAAGGCATCCTCACAGTTATGGTATCATCCCAGCTATTACAAGCTTTCTTTCTTCAGTACTATACTGATACTAAAGCAAGACAGAAGATGCATAATTCATGCAGATAATATTGGGGCCAGGAGACCCATGAAGTTTGAGCTGATGTCCATGTAGTACTCATTTCCATTCAAGGCTGGAGTTGCCATTAAATATATTGAGGTGCATTTCCCCATGCAGTCTTCCTCTATATATGGGATGGGAGAGATATGATCTTGTCCTTTGCTTCAGGCATCAAAATTTATGTATTTATTTACGACATTTATATGTCGCTCTTCTCACCCCGAAGAGGACTCAAAGTGGCTTACAAGATATATATACATACAATATATTAAATTATTAGCATAGTACAATATCAGTATTATATATTACTATATTGTACTACACTATTATATTGTAATATTATTAGTAATACTACATGTAATATAAAATATATAATTATAATATTGTATTTTTATTAATAGTACTATTAGTATTATATTGTATTACATTATAATGTTATAAATATTATAATCTAGTCTCATTCACACTGGATGTTATAGTAAATGACTACAGGTTGTGTATGCACGTGTATACACACACATGCATTTTCTTTCCCCCTGGAGGTGCTCTTCACACTTTGATACTGAAAACCTGCCCATATTGAACAAACAAAGGTGATTGCATTGTTGATTCTATTAGCTTAAAATCTGGTAAAGGAAACTGGTGAGGAGACTGGACAAGGCAGTTAATATCCTACATGAGCAAATAATGAACTCAGTGCTGGGCTTGCATTCCTTGTTGTGGATCAGTGCTCTGTTCCCAAACCTTTTTTTTCCATCACGTCTGCAACAATCATCTTTCTGACCGCTACCTTCCCCAAGAAAAAATATCTGTGCAGTGACCTTATAGTACTCAAGTGACCTGCAAACGAAAAGAACAAGGAAAAAAAAAGAACACCCTAAAACATTTAAAATGCCTTAATCCACGAGCAAACTACCGTATATAGAGTTTTCTCCTGTTTTGCTCTAGAGTTACTTTAGCTGGGTTGGATCTAGAGATTATGCTCAGTAAACCTCCCAATCAGGTGGTTTTTCACCACTGTTGTTTTGTGTCAAGATTAGATAACCTTGTAAAAGAGGACAGATCAGGTAGGGTAGAGTAAGTAGTCCCTGCTGTAGCTCAAGATTCTGCGAATGAAGGGGTGCTGTGCTTAATGTTGATATTATTAATTTCAAATGTTTGTTTGTTTACTCTCTGAGATCAAACAGCACAGCATATAGCTAAACTACCAGCTATGTTCAATATCTTGCGTGAAATAGAATTTTTCTTTCTTACTCCAAAGAAAATGCACATGGGCCTGACTCAGAGTGTGTAGATAGAGGAAACGATAAGTGGGAATCTTTTGTACTTTTTTTTGTTCTTAAATTCTCTCTTTCCTCTGTTCAAGTTTTACAATAGGAAAAATAATAATGAAATACCAGTGAAGGGTTATCTTCTCAACATAATTTCAGGACAAATCCAGGAGGCAGAATGGTGTACGGGATGTTTAAACACCTCTGGATAAAACCCTCACATGCTAACTTTGGAGATTGCACATGATACACTGAAGATTTAAAAGGATTATTGGCCAGAACGTTAATAATGTGTGGGTCAATTTCCATTGCAGTGCCCATTTCACAATAATGGGTCCCATTTGACACAAGTGTTATTTATTTATTTATTTATTTATTTATTTATTTATTTATTTATTTGCGGTATTTGTATACCACCCTTCTCAACCCCAAAGGGAACTCAGGATAGTTCACAGAGTTGTCAATTACTCCAGTTTCTTCTGCAAAGAAGGTCAGCCACAGGTTGAAACTGTGAATTTTTTTTCTTAGCACATTCATACTATGTAATACTGCTGCTGCTGCTGCTACTACTACTACTACTACTACTAATAATAATAATAATAATAATACTAGAGAATTATTTGCCACGGGAGTTGTCCATTGCTCCAGCGATAAGCTTTAATGTTTCCCTATGTTCTCTGCAAAGGTTAGACACAGGTTGAAACTGTGTATTTGTTTTCTTAGCAGTCATACAATGTAATACTAACTATATAAATAAAAACGTAATGTTAGTTTGTGGGATTAACATAACCCAAAAACCACTAGACGAATTGACACCAAATTTGGACACAATAACATCTATCAGGCCAACGAGTGATCATCATTCACAAAAACACTGAAAAACACAGCAAAAAAGACTTAAAAGCCAAAAAATAAAAAATACATTACCACACATGCACAAAAACACGGATATATACACAAACACACATATATAAACATATACACAAATATATACATAAACACATACACACATACACACACACAAAACACATATACACAGACTGGGCCACAGCAACGCGTGGCAGGGGATGGCTAGTTAATAATAATAAATAATAATAATAATAATAATAATAATAATAATAATAGAGAATGATTAATTTTATTTGTTACCTGCTTCTCCTCACAGCTCAAGATGGAGTACAACACAGTTATATATGGCACATTTACATGGAATAAAATCTTACTAAATTCAGTGAGATTATTCTTCAGTCACATCTTGTGTATGATTATAGTGTCAAGTTCTTTCTGCTAGGGCTGCTCAGGCACAATAACAGTTCTAGAAGAATCCACTAGTCTTTCTTTTCTTTCTTTCTTTTTGCAGCATCTACTAGCACACCTCCCGTTGAGAAGACTGGGAGGAGCTGGCCATACTTTGCTGGTTTTGTTCTTCTGGCAGCTGGGATATCCATCCTGATTGCACTGGTTGCCAAATGCATATTGTTCCGGAGGAACCGGGCAAGTTACCAGCACCAGCGGCTTCCAGATTCCCGCTCTGTTGGAAGCAGCCATGCTGAGGAAGCTGACATGGAGGTGGCTTACGGCAGGAATCAGCCTGGTGCAGGCTGTCCTGCTGACGATGACGACGGTTTCATTGAGGACAACTACATTGAGCCCAACAGAGACATGCGGGAAGAAGAAGAGGAGGAAGATGTGGAAGTGGAGGAGGAAGAACTGGAACCACATTTCAAAATTTGAGAACCCATGTGGAATCGAGGCCTGTTTTTTATATTTTCCAGAATGTGCTTTGAGTACCATTCCATTTCATTTTCTACATGCTTCCCTCTAGTGATCTCATTGTAGGATCTCTTTTCCATTTTTTGACTTTTTGACAGTCTTTGGCCTCCAATCCGTGATCACAAGAATCATATGATCAGCCAATGACTTTCCAAGATGCTTCTCAGAATGAAAGTGTCCTTAAGTATCAGTTCCTTTCATTTGTATACTTTGAGCTTGTCCATATGGTCACTCCCATATTAGGTCTGTATAAGGAACAACAGGATGTTGTAAATACATTGTGTTCACCTCATGGAGGGAGAGGTTGCTCCAACAATGTAAGCGTGTTATGAGAATGGTCTCTCATTGTACCCATGTCTAGTCTGTAGTCCAAGCTTGTGAGTGCTGTCACATGTAGAAGGCCAGTATGCAACACAGAAGGCAACAAATTATTAATTGTAGTTTCCAGAGCAGTAGAGACTCAATAATGCATTTGGTGCAGGGAGCCCAACATATAGCCTTCCACAGATTGACACCAGAATTGCTCATAACAACCACATCCCTTTGATTAATGTGGAGGCATGTTTGTCTGCCTTGGAATCTGACCATGCCAAAGGATGTATGCCTAAAGCTAGTTTCTGTCTGAATAGCTTTTGCATCAAAAACACAGGATCCCTAACTCTGAATTCATTGTGTATTCTTGGCTGCAGAATGTACATAGGAGTTTTGTTCATTGACTGCATAATGTCTTTACGCATGAATATTTATGGCTCCAAGCATTTTTTCAATTTGTGTGTGGCAAAATTTAAATCACTTTTACTTATTTCTTCATAGCAGGTAATCTACAGAGGTTTTGTAAATAGAACTATAGTTACCCTTCTCCATATTAGTTTTTTAAAGTCTTCTGGCTGTAATTGTGTTTGACTATACATTGACTGTTTCCATGGTTCAATCAAGTCCTTGGCTCTAAAAATAGAACCTCGACTGTACATATGATGCTTCACACCATGGGGCCTTTTGGATGGTTGGTGTGTGTGTGTTTCCCCTAAGCTGTGCTTTTGTTGTGACAATACCGCTTTTTGACAGCACTGAAACCTTAATTATATGTCTGAGAAAAATGTTAAGAAGTCTATCAATTTTTCCACTCCATTTCTGGAGGTGACAGCCATGCTTCACTTTTGTATAGTGCATTCATACACATTTACTGGCAAGGAAGAACCCCTGTGTTATTCAGCAAAACCTACTCCCCAATACATCTATTTAACACTATCTCTTTTTGGGTGAAAAGTGGGATATAAATCCAACCAGGTTTCCTGGTAATCTAAACCTGGAGAATGTGTTGGAAAAACAAAGATAAAATACAGTCTTGTCAACTTCATATTTGGTAGGTTAAATAAAATGACGGGGCTTTTGTGGGGCATACATTGTTTTCCCAGTGCTGGAAACAAGCCTTCTGATCTGCCTCAAAGCATTTTTCTTTCCCAATTTGAATCAGCAATTTGTGGAGAAGACTAGAAAAAGAAAATAATTGCTCCAAATTAGGTGTTTACACTTGCAAATTCCAATGCAAAGCAATCAAGACCACTCCATTTACTGTTCATCTCGTTGATGTGGCAATTCAAGTCTAATATTTTCCAAGTAGGCTGGATGGGACTTGAGATCAAGAAATGGCAATTTAAATTGCTCAGGGTACAATTAGCATTACTGAACTACAGTATGAGATACATGCTATTTAAATTTTAAGAAGCTACCTCTAGGTTGATATACAAAATATAACTGAATAAGTGAATTGGAGCGGCCTCCACACTAATCAGTTTGTCATGGTTTGGTTGTTCTATGAATAAACACACTCCTATGTTTTAAAACCATTGTGGTACTAATTTTGTCTTTCATTTGAGCCTTAAAAATAAAAAAAATGATACTGGTTGCACAGTTGTGGTCACTGGTTTATCTGTAGCTAAAAGCAAAAACCAGTTACAACCACTGCTTTACCACATATATAAAACATATTTCATTCTGCTAATAACTGTTTAAGACTGCAATAAAGGAGAAGGAGTCGAGGACCCCTTCCACCCAGCTGTATAAAATCCACATTGAACTGGATTATATGGTAGTGTGGACTCAGATAACCCAGTTCAAAGCAGATATTGTGGATTATGTGCCTTGATATTCTGTGTTATATGGCTGTGTGGAAGGGCCCTAGGGTAATTGGAAAATGAGACTCTTTTGCTCAACACAATACTTCTGACCATTTTCTCCCCACTCCAACGTCTTGCTTATGGAGAAATGAAGGTATTCTTAGGAGAAAGAACAGGGGAAATATTTTCTGCATAATAGCACTTCATGTTACTCTTCATGTTTTCTCCCTGTTCATCAGTTCTAAGATAATGGTAAAGGTTTTCCCCTGACATTAAGTCTAGTCATGTCTGACTCTGGGGGATGGTGCTCACCTCCATTTCTAAGCTGAAGAGCCAATGTTGTTGTGCTGGTATGGCTGTATCAGGAGCTCCAACTTTATTTGCTTTTATTAAATGTTTGCTTGCAGTCCTAGGTTTCAGGGTTCTGCAGAAAGGTGGCTTCCTTTTGTTGCAGTCGTAGGGCAAGTCACCTGTCCATCATCATTAAGTTTTGGTTCCGCCCCTTGCTCAGGGCAATTGGGAAGGGAAAGGAGTCATTTTTAGTTTGTCTCAGTAAGGAAAGCTAATGTAGAGGACGTGTACAAGCTTCTCCTGTACAAAAGCTTCAACCCTTAAGACTTTCCGGGGGAGAACAGTCTTAAGAGCATCCAAAGATCTCCAAAGATTTTCAGGGAAACAGCCCTAAAGACCAAAGAACTCCAGTGGGAGGGGGGCGGGGAGAAGACCTCATTCCAGATGGATAGACTCACTCAAAGAAACAATCTCACTGACTCTCCAAGATTTGAGTAGGGCTGAGGACAGGGTGACTTGGGAGGTCTCTCGTTCAGATTGTACATGATACCCAGACATGCATTGATAGACATTGACATTGTTTTTAGGCAGGGTGCTAGCATTTTCCCTTCTCAAGAGTGGGACAAAAGGAATGTTTCCAAGGTGTAGGTTGGACACAGGGTTGGAATTTTTGGAGTTTCAAGATGACACAAGTCCCCCTTCTCATTTTGAGAGAGAAGGAAGATTCTTGCTCATATGGTGAGACATTCTTATCAGAACTTTATCTTAGTTTAGCTAGATCTGTGTTTACAATTGTACTTAAGGTCTTCTTACAGACTACATGAAACTCAAGCAAAGTGAAGTTGAGAAACAATTAAATATTGGTCTCAGAGCAGATTACCAGAAATACATGTAGTTATAAGTATGTAGGAACATATAAGCTTAATTACTAAAAAAAATCCTTGCTAAACTTCCACAAACACAACTCATTACAATGACCCATTTAGCCTGGCACTGCATATACCTGGCAGAATTTCCTTAGTTTTCTAGTCCTGAAGATACACTTTTTTTCATGCAATGCATATGCCCAAGAACTGAGTTTCCAAAACACATATCTTTAATAAATTTTATTTGTTTGTTTGTTTATTACATTTATATTTTGCCCTTCTCACCCCAAAGGGAACTTGGGGTGGAACACAGTATATATATGGCAAATATTCAGTGCTGGGACATGATATCATTAGATGCATACATAAACATTAAAAACATTTGTCTCAATAATAAAATACACTGTTTAAAAAACATCTTGATCATCTGCGTCTAATCTAATTGGCCTGGCATTGAACCACATACTTCCCACTTTTCTACGCTCACTATGAAATCCATAACCTTACCTGTTTTACTTATATTTTTACAAAACTGAGAGAAAGATGTTGTTAGCCTTCATTTTTGTAGGTATAGATGCACATTTGATAATTAGACTTAAGTCTATGAAAGCTTATCCTACCATTTCCTTTCTGTGCTAGTCTCAAAAATGCTGCAAGAATCCTTTGCACAGTTATTCAGACCACTGTTTCTCAGACTGTTCTCCTCCAGATGCTTCGGACTTCAGCTCCCAGCTATCGAAGTCAGGTTACCAGCTGTTAGTGAGAGGGGAAGTCCAAAACATGTGGAGGAGCACAGTTTGCAAAACTCTGGTAAAGACTAAGATGGCTAAGTTTTTGAATTATATTTTAAAGTGATTCCTAAGTGCTTTTCCTCTGCTTGCCCCACATATGGAAAGTTCTACAGGAAATGAAGGCTGTCTGGAACTCTTGATTTTGTAAACAATTATTTTCTGCCATTGACTCAGACCCTAAAATAACAGCCACATACATAACTAAACGCTTCCAGACAGGGCTTCCTGCCTATTTCTTCACACCATTCAAGGGTAAACGTCTTACATAAGCATTAGAAAAATCGTATACAATTTCACCGTGGCAGGGATTTAGTCACTCCTTTAAAAAAAATGAAGGAACAAAAACAAGTGCTTGTGCTTTCTCAAAAACAGGTTTTCTGTATATAAAGCAAGGCCTTCTTGGAGGTTTAATTTTCAAAATTCGTATGGTGCATGGCTATACATATCCCAGTTATCATCTCCACCTTATAGGTTCAGTAGAGGTAAAATGATTGCAGTGGTTTCCAACAAAATGCAATATCATTATCTTTACACCACAGGTAGAACGAAGATAATGCAGTTTTTGCATGCCTGATGGTACAGTGTTATAGAGTTTGTTTACTAAAATCAACCTTCTAATATCTTATTCTTCATTAGTAAAATACAGTTTCACAAGTACAATGACGACTGAGTCATTTTGAGCCATTTCTACAAGTTCTAGCCAAAACTTGCTATTTTGTTATCCTATATTGTAATCCATAACAAATAAAGCTGGGTAATTGCAATGGAATGCAAAAGAGGTTTTTAGAACAGAACCATATAAAACAATTGCAAATAATAACATGAATGCTGCACTAAAATAAAACAATTTTCTGGAATTGCATCTAGGCAAGAGATTTTTTAAATATAATCTCTAAGAGTTGAATACAGTAT